AGGACTTTCTGGATGAAGCGGTTGCGCTGGGCTTGCGTCAACTGCTTGCCGGTGTTCTTGTCGGCTGCCTTGGCCGCCTCTGCCTTGTACTCCTTCGAGCGCTGGTCTGGCCACTTCTGGCCCGCGCGCTTCTCCTTCTCCAGCGCGATCTCCTTCTGCAAGTCGGGGAACAGCAGCTCCTTCTTCTGCTTCTGGCCTCTGGTCTTATAGCTTGTCTTGAGGAACTGCTCGGCCTTCTGCGCCTGGTTCGACACGCCCCCCTGCGTCGGGGCCTCCGCCACCGCCCGAGCCTCGCTCAGGGCTGTCGCAGGCGTCAGGGCCTCCCGCAGCAGCAGCAGCTGGAGGAGCAGCACCACCAGGTGGCTCCGCTCCGCGCTGCCCGCCACCCTCAGAGGTGCCCTCCTCTTCCTCCCCCTCCTCCTCTTCCTCCTCCTCCTCCTCCTCCTGCTCCTGAGTCGTTTTTCGACGCTCCCGGGGGCCGGCCCGGCCTCCCCGGCGCCCCGACGAGACGGCGACTTCGGCCCTCCGACCTGACCTTTCGGGTCCGGCGTGATCCTTTCAGGACGTGATTTTCTTTCAGGACGTGACTCTTTCCGGCGGGTCCGGGGCCGTTCTCGGCCTCGGGACCTTCGCCAGGCTCCGGGGCCGTCCAGGAACGACTTTGGACGAAGAAGTTGTCCGGACCTCCGTGGGGCCCCCGCACCGAACTAGAACATCGGAGCGGCCGGATTTCTGTGGGCAGGGAGGGGGGAGGGCAGAAGACGACGAGGGGGAGGAGGGGGAGGGAAGGGGAGGGAGGGAGGGGGGAGGCCAAGCAAGGTGCGCTCGCGTCATATCTGACATCCCACCCCGCCCTCTTATCCCTTACACGGCCTCCTTGCGGCGAGGACGAGGAAGGAGGACGAGGACGAGCTCGTTCACGAAGACGAGGACAAGTAGCAGCACGAGGAGGACGAGGACGAGGAACAGTAGAAGGAGGAGGAGGAGGGACGCAGAAACGCCCTGGGGGGAGGGGTCCAATCCTTCAGGGATCCCCCCTCTTGACTTCTCATCTTTGGGCGCATCCAGCACGGACCCCCCCCGCCGCCTCAAAGTCTAACGTCTAATCGATCCCCACCCCCACTGGGCCATGAGGCAGGGGAAGAGAGAACGGATGGAAGGAAGGGAAACGACGACGACAAATACAACGACGACAACGACAAGAACAACAACAACAGCATCATCAACAACAACAATAATCATGTTATCCTCATGCGCGATGTTTCCACACGAAGCATGTGACCATCATGATAAGCATCCCATCATGGGTGATTATTGTCTTATAGTGGGCCCGTTATTCCCATTCCCAGATCTACCGCCCTATGATGAGGTCTTGCAAACACCTCTGAGGAATGTCAACATATCCCGCCTCGACTTGATGCGTCGATGCGAGACCGCCAGTGGAGCCCCAGCTAAGGGTAAAGCACAAAGAAGTATCGAGCGACAGGATTGCCTCGGTGGGGATGGGGGCTGTCGGCGGCGAGGCAAGGACCTGGCCCTGAATGGAAAGGGAGGAAGTCTCGAGCAGGGCCGCTGTTGTTTGCTGGGAGCGGCGCCAATGCTGAAATGAGTAGGGCGCTAGTCCAGCGTAAAACCAATCGAAGTCTCTAGCGAGAACGCTGGTCTTGTTGGGACGGCGGTTGTCGGCGGCGAGGAGGAACACCACCTTGAGCAAGAAGGGGGAAGTCTCGAGCGGGAGCCGTGGTTTTGTCGGGACGGGGGCTGTCGGCGGCGAGGAACAGCACCGTCCTGAGGAAATGGAATGAATCCTCGAGCGGGAGAGTTGTTCTTGCTGGGAGCGGCGCCAATTCAAAAGAGAGTATCCAGCGTAAGACGGGAGGAAGTCTCGGGCGGGAGCGTTGGTTTTGCCGGGACGGCAGTTTTCGGCGGCGAGGAGGAGCACCGCTTTGAGTAAAACAATAAGGAAGACTCGAGCGGGAGCGTCGTTGTTGCTGGGGCGGCGCCGATGAGAGAAAGAGTAGCGCGCCAGTCCAAGGTGAAACGGGAGGAAGTCTCGAGCGGTAGCGCTGGTTTGGTTGGGACGGCGGCTTTCTTGCGGCGAGCAAGAGCATAGGCCCTGAGCAAAAAAGGAGGAACTCTCGAGCGGGAGCGTTGTTGTTGGGGGGCCGGTTATGGCGCCCCCCCAGACTGCTCGAGCGTGAGCTTCGTTTTCAATGAACATGTAGCCGGCGCCGAGGCGAGAGCGTCAAGGCGCCTGAGGGGGATCCAAGGCGCCTGAGGGGGGTCCAACACTTATATTTGTTTTGTATTCAAAGTTCACAACAACAATGACATCAACAACAACAACAACAACAACAACAACAATCATTTAAGACTGGGGACACTCCGTTCTCACCAGTGCCAGGGTTTTCATAGGAGGCGGGCAATACCCCCACTTTGTGGGGGGGCCGGTTCAAGCTCTACCAAGTTTCCAAACGACTCTTCGCCACCACCCACACCCAGCTTCCCGCCCTATGACGTTCGGACACTTCACTTCGTGGCCTGCGGACGACCTTGGCTACTACACTGGCGCATGGTTACAATGACTTCTTGTGGTAACATCTTGTGGAAACTAGCTTAGTATACGACTTATACCCCTGTTCCAACAATGGGCACGTGTACCGTTTTCCGACGTTTTAACGTTTCTGTACCACACAAGCCAAGACCCTTATTTTGACTGCCGAGGGCGCAACCTATGGCGCAACCGATAGGGGGGCGTTTTATTCTCGGCGGCCGAGGGCGCAACCTATGGCGCAACCGCAAGGGATTATGGCCCCTGGCAGGCGCGCGAACCCCGTTGCAAGAGCGTGCGAAAGTAGCTCGCGCGAGCTCATGTAACATAAATGTTGGAAAACCATTGGTTTTTTTAGGATTCGGACAGCGCGCGCGGGTGGAAATTTTGAAAAGTCGTGCAGGTGTTTTTCGAGGACCTACGGTGCGATTCGTGTGATTTTATGATGCGCGGTGCTAAAATTCTTAAGAACCCAATGGTTTTTGGAGATTTCGGCGTGCGCGCGCGAAGAAAAAACGAATGTGTCCCGCATGGTATTATTTGACAGGGATGATGGCCCTGGCAGGTGCGCAACCGTTGTCGCAGAAGTTCGAAAAAGTTGCTCGCAAAAGCCCGTTTGACAGAAATGTTTAAAAAGTGTTGGGTTTCCTACGAATCCGCAAGAGCGCGCGGGATGAGATTTTGACATTTTTTTGTTGAAAAACCATTGGTTTTTTGATGTTTTTATGTTAAAATCGCTCCGAACACTAAGCTTTTGGAAGGATTTCGTCTTGCGCGCGCGAATGTCCACTTTACCTTATTTTTTGCAAGGGATTCTTGAAATTTGATTATATTAGAACAAGAAATGTCATTTTATAGTGTTTTTTGCAAGGGAAAACGGATTACAACAAAACAACCGGATCTGGACCCCATCCATTTTTCTGAAGCTTTCGAGAACAAATGATGAAAATGTAGCTGCGGCCTAGGCGCGGCGGGGGGGCCGTGCACCAGGGGCCCCAACAATAATTATTCTTTAGAATTAATAATGTTCAACAACATTAACAACAACAACAGCAACAGCAACAACAACAACAACCCACCGGCCCACCCTTCGGGGCGGGGATCGGCCCCGCGAAAAAGTTCGAAGGGCACAGTGTACCTCCCAGCCAGGGCGATAATCACACGCCGGCCAGCGGGACCAAGGCCACGCCGGTGGGATTGGATTTTCCGTGGAACCACCCTCCAAGGATTAGGTCGGGCATGTTCGTTCTTCTACAGGAGCAATGGTAAAACATAGCCAAGACATAGTCTGGAGACGATTGTTCGACTGTTTTTGAGTATTTCTTCGGGCGTAGCCCGAATTCGTTTCTCGCGAGGTAAACTGAATTGACCTGAACTGAACTGATCAGACTGCTCGCACCCGTTACGCGACGGTTTTATTCTCGGCCACCGAGGGCGCCACTTATGGTGCAACTGCTAGGAGACGGTTTTATTCTCACCCGCCGAATCGCAACCTATGGCGCAATCGATATGCGACGGTTTTAATCTCGGCCGCCGAGGGCGCTAGCTATGCCGCACCCGTTACGCGACGGTTTTATTGTCGGCCGCCGAGGGCGCAGCCTATGGCGCAACCGATAGGAGACGGTTTTATTCTCGGCCGACGAGGGTGCAGCTCATGGCGCAACCGATCGGAGACGGTCTTGTTCTCGGCCGCCGAGGGCGCCACCTACGGCGCAACCGATAGCAGTCGGTTTTATTCTCGGCCGCCGAGGGCGCGACTTATGGCGCAACCGATCGGAGACGGTCTTATTTTCGGCCGCCGCGGGCGCAACCCATGGCGCAACCGATCGGAGATTGTTTCTACAGGACAGGTTTCCACCATTCCCCTGGTCTGGCGTTGAGCCGTTCTCTTGAACCGCAAGCGGGCCAGCGAGGGCGTCGAGGACCGAGGTGCCAGGAGAATGAGGTTGGGCAGGAGGAGGAAGAGGAGAAACGTGGACGAAGCCTTAGACGAAGACGACGAGGAGGAGCTGGAGCAGGAGGAATATGGACGAGGAAGACGAGGAGGATGAGGAGGACGAGGAGGAGGACGACGACGACCATCAGGATGGGGAGGAGGACGGGGAGAAGTACGAGTAGTACGGGGACGAAGTGTGGGCATTCGAATGCGTGTGGGGCTGCGCCCGGTTTCTGCTCGCCGTTTGGGCTGGCGGCGGGGCCCAAGCGGCGAGCTGTCTCCTGATTGGACCATTTAGCATCTTCCCTTCCATTACCAGCCTGGAACATATCCCTATCCCTATGCTGGGCACCTCCTCTTCACGATGCCAATCTGAGGGATTCCCTTATTTTTTGAGGGCGAATCCCTAAGATTGTCATCGCCTTTTGGCGTGTCAATCTTAGGGATAGAGATACGTTCGAGGCTGGTAATCCCAAGTCTGCCTGTGGGGGGACGTGCCCGACCGAATCCGAGGACGAGGAGGAGCTCGCGCCCTGCACCTTCGCGCCGCAGCTCATCTCCAAGGGCCCGCACGACAAGAGCCCCGGCGGCGCCGCCACGCTCTACGAGCGCGCGCAGAAGCGGGAGCGCCGGCCGGCGAGCGCGAGGGCCTTTCCTGCATCCGCCATGAGCCCAGACCCCCTTCGGGTTTTTGGAACCCCCCCAGGGGGGGGGGTCCAAAAACCCGAACCCCCCCCCAGGGGGCTTCCAAAAACCCAAACCCCCCCAGGGGGGGGGTCCAAAAACCCAAACCCCCCCCAGGGGGGGGGTCCGATTTCGATTCCGATCCGGCTTGACGCGGTCCGGTTTCCGACTCGATCCGGCTCGGACTTGCCGACCTCAGCCGATTTCGATTTGGCTGCCGGTTTTTGCCGATTTCTGCCGATTCGATGCTCCGGTCGACCCGATCCGGCTTATCGATTCGATGCTGGGGCCGCCTGCCCTTCGGGCAACGACAAAATCATGACGGGAGGGTTTTCGCTACATTTTCGGCCTCTGGGGGCCCTCGCCGGGCCACAAAACGACTGGGGGTGAGGAACAGGTCCTGGGGAGTGGGCCGAGAAGTCTTGGGGTCGGCGTGGCGACACAATCATGACGTCGGGGGTCTGGGAGGCAGACGTATCCTGAGGGGAACGGTTCCCGGGGTATGTCGCCAGGTTCGGGCTCGCGGGTTCCTTGCCCCGCCTAGGCAGCCTCCACAGCATGACTCGGAATGGAGAGTTCCCGCGCAACCCAAAAGGGGGGCCAACTGAAAGGGGATGGTGCAATGGACGTGGGGCAATCGTGTTGCAGATGGTTATCGCGCCAAAGACGTTGATTGCACTGCATTGCAACTACGTTATGCATTGCACACGGAAATCCAGCAATACACTTGCGCCCGGAAATGCATTGCAAGCCCGCAAGTCCGGTGCACCAGATCTATTGCCCCCCCCTTTTCGCTGGACCCCCTTTTGGGTCAACCAGGGAATGGGTCTTGGAGAGAGTTCTGGGTTCCAGGACTCGTGTCCCTCAGCACCCGCTTCCTTGGCATCGCTCGGACGTGTAAATTTTTCCTTCGGCGAAGACCATCGAGGAGCATCCTTGATCATTTGGCAAAAAAAGGCACGCACGAAACCGAAAAATCACAGGGAATGGACGTCCGAGCGATGGCCAGCTTCCGTCATGCCAATTGCACAGGGCGTGGCGCAGGAAGTCTCGGGCGCTGGATGCGCCTTCCGGGGGTCTTGGGATCCGCGGCTGTGGAAGCAAGGGCCGATGAGCTAGGGGTGCCCTGACTCCAGATCCGCCCCACGTTGGATTTTTCCCAACGTAAAATTGCGTCGGAAATCCACCTATAAGGAGCCGAACAAGTAGGGCGCAAATTTCTGCACCCAACATAAAAGAGGGCGGAAATCCACGGAAGTAGGGCGGAAACAGCAACAGAAAAGTATGGCGGAAATTGGCATCAGCGGGGCTTGAAAAGTAAGGCCGAAATTCCAAGCCCTACTTACGAATTTCCCCAAAGTAGGGCGGATCCGGAGTCAGGGTGCGCATTCGGACCGGCTAGAGACCCCGGGCCGTGGTAGTACTTCGGCGAATTTCTGTTCGTGGTTTGGCCCCCTCCCATTTGCGACCGCGAGATGACCAATATCTGTGCCGAGCCCTGGGGTCCGACTCCACGGCAAAGTGCAGCGCCATGCAGCGTCGCGACCAGGGCCCCAGATCCCACCGCTGCGCTGCATGCTTTGAGCCCGAATCGCTCTGCGACCTTCCCCAGGCCAGAAAACCGGGCGAAAGCGCCCGTTGGAAAGATCGGAGGTGGATAGACCTCCTGCCCTGACACGTCGAGTAAGGAATTGGCCGTTTTCGGTTTGCGAGAGGGCGTCGCGGCCGGCATTTTTGCGGGTCCAGGTCCGTCGGTTCTGGTCCTAGGTCGTTTTCAGTGAGGGGGAGCTTAACTGAAGGAAGGCGTGTCCACCGCCGAGAAGAACCCGAGAGCGCGGATCTCAGGGAACGGTTCTCTTCCCATCGTTTTTCATGGTTGGGCGGGCGACGTTCGGGTACAGCCAGGCTCCCAGGTGAGGGGGCCCAGTTGGTACAGGGCCCCAGAGCCCCTGAATTGGCCAGAATCACTAAACCAGGTCTGCCGTACGGTAGGTTCGCTCCGTGCCGACCAGCGGCGACCCCGCCGCGGGCATTCGAGGTTGAACGCCGCCAGTGGCCCAAACTCGGCCTAGATGCAACGATCGGGCGATCGAAAAGCCGCCGATCATTCGAGGTTGAACGATCCACGCGATGTCAGAAACCAACGCTCTGGGGTCGTCACGACACGAACCTGCCGCAGCTGGTGCTGGTTCGGGTTGTCGTAATTCCTGCGGGTGGAACGGGGCAGGGTGGGCGCCCCCCAGCACTCCAGATTTCGTAATACGAGGGAGGGGGGGCTCCTTTCGGGGGGGGGGAGAGTCTCTTCCAGGCCATCTTGGGGGGCCTAGGGGGGGTCTGGGGACGATGTTTTGGAGGGTTCTCCCACGAGGGGGGGTCTGAAGTGGCTTGTCTTGGAGGGTCCAGACCCCCTCCCTTTTATTACGAAATCTGGAGCACACATCCCTAAACCAGGTCCCACTGAGCCCAGTTCTGCCAGCGCCCGCGACTGTTTCCTCAAACGGGGGCAACTCTCGCGGCGGTGTGCGGTCTCGTGAGGCCCACGGTGCGGCCGCACTCTGAAGTGCAGACCTCATGGCGCTCTTTACAGGGCCCTTGGCATCGCTCGGACGTGTGCGTTTTTTCCTCGGCGCGGACCATAGAGGAGCATCCTGGATCACTTGGCCAAACAAAACCACGCACGAAACAGAAAAACCACAGGGAATGGACGTCCGAGCGATGGCCAGGGCCCACTCTGATCCGATCGATCCGATTGGACGTCGCTGTCGGCCAGTCCGATCTGGTGGTCCGCTGCGGTTCGATGCCTGCGCGGCGCTGCGGTGCATGTGCGATTCCATTCCGGCTCCGTGCCGATGCGGCCCGATCCGACGCGCACTCCCATTCGCTACGTTTTTCCGATTAGATGCTGACCGATCCTGCCCTTTATTGTAGACCCCGTGTGAGCGACGAAAGAAATCGGGGTCGATTGCGCCGACATTCGCGCGCAAGCTGTCCGCGCAAGGTCGCGCGCAAGAGCCCTCGTCTCCAATGTAGCGTGCCACGCTGGCGGACCGCGTAGTTAAGCCACCGCGTAATGGCGCTGTGTCCTCTCGCGGAAGTTCAGTTGGGAGGTCGCTCGTGTTGTCGAACGGGGCGAAGACGAGGATAAATCCGTTCCAGCGCGTTCCAGAACGCTCTCGGATCGTTCCGTACCGCTCCGAGAAGGCAGCGGCGCCCGATACATCATCCAGAGCCGCCGGAGCTCAGATATTATGTATTGGAGTACCATGTGGGATTTGCTTGAAGATCTACCCTTTCTCCGACCTTGCACCGCGCCGAACGCAACGGCCACGTTGTCCATGGACGACGCATCCACGCCGAAAGTGTCAATGGACGTCAAGGTACTTAATGTGTCCATAAACGCTTTTTGGCGAGGACGTGAGAGCGGTATTTGGTATATCGGCCCCAGATGTTGGCTTCTAGCATCGAGAAAAAAAGAACCGCTAACCTCAATAACACGTGGCCTCATTGAGGTCCCCGTTCGTGCATCGGTTAGGGATCGTGAATCTGGACAGTTTGGTTCGATACATCTGCAGACAGACTCCCTACTCCCTACCCTCAGTGCTTTTGGCCCTCTTATTTTGGCCCTCCCAACTTATGTCCCCTCCCAAAGGATTGCGGGTCCTTTTTTGGGGTGCTCATTCTAGATGCAGGTACAGTGAGCGGCTTGAGTAAGGAACACATACTTTTCAAAAGGGGCTCGGTCGTTCCTTAGATTTTACATGCGTTATTCACAATTATTTATGCGTTTTCTCTTATTGATCGTTCCTTATGCGTTATTCCTTGATAAAAAAGGGGCTTCGTTTCTTATGTATCGTTCCTTAGGTCAGGCCGATGACTGTAGGTCTGGCTCTCCAAATTACGTATGCCCACCCGATCTGATCCCCGTCCTGGCCTCGTCTTTGCTGGGGAGGCCTGGCCCTTCCCGCGCGCCGCGCGCGCGCGCCCAGTCCTTCGCCGAGCGCGCCCTGCCTCCACACCGGGCTTAAGTCGGGCATGTCCCTCTACAAGGAGGATCATCATAGCATAGGAGAAAATATTCTGGGGGGCGATTTTGTGTCTTATTTATTTGATCGTTTTTTAATTATTTCCCCAATCTGTGCTTGCACTGAAGGGGTCCTAGCGGAAATCGAAAGATTTGGCGCAAGTGTCCCGCCGATTTTGGTGGCCGGCTGGGTTCCCGGGTTCCTGGTCATTGGTTATGGTCCGATTTCGGTGGATTCCGGATTCCCGGGCTCCCGGGTTCTTGGTCGATCTCCTCATCGATATCTTGATCGATCCCATTTCAAACCATCAAATGAATGGTTTCTTCTTTGGCATAATGCCATTTTTTCTTCCAAGGTCCGCCTGTAGAGGCGGGGCGTGCTTCAAGCAGTGTCGAAGCGTCCTGGCGTGCCTAGAGCCTAGAGGCCTACCAAACATTGTTCTAGGAACCTTTTGTGGTCTGCGCGAGCTGTTCTTGGAACATTTCTGGCTGGGACGGTCTCCTTTCAACGCATCGGGCTTCTGTTCTGAGCACATTGTTTTTGCTCTCAGAACAATACTGGGTTCTACGAAACTTTCGTGGTAGGCTTGTCGGACCGCGCGGACCGGTCGGTCCCCGCTCCAAGTGCTCGGCGCGGCGCACGCCCCGCCCGCGCCGAGCACGCCCGCGCCCCCACGCCGGGCAGGAGCAGCGCCGGGCGGAGCGGGAGCGGCTGGCGCGCAGCGAGCGGGAGCTCCGCGAGGCCTGCGACGGGTGCGCGCTCGGCACCGCCGGCAGACGGCGACGACGCCGACGACGCCGACGACGGCGACGGCGGCGGCGCCGACGACGGCGGCGACGACGACGACGACGACGGCGACGACGCCGAAGACGACGGCGGCGGCGGCGGCGACGACGGCGGCGGCGGCGTCGGCGGCGGCGGCGGCGGCGCGTGCTCGCGCGGCCGCCCTGCTGGGACACAGCAAAGAACCGCGACCACAACGCTACGGAACCGCAAGGACCTGTCACTGCCGGGAGTCTAAGAAGAAAAAACGCCACGAACATAAACGCTCCGCGCGGATTGCTTTGATCGGCGCCTGGGCCCCTCTGGCGGCGCCTCCGGCGCCGCCTCTGGCGCGCCCCGCGCGCCAGGAAGGGAGGCCCAGCGCGCGTCCAAGAAACCCGCGCGGAGCGCCAAAAGTGTATGTTTGTGCCGCTTCCTTCTCCTAGGGAGGGTCCTTCGGTGTGAGAATCCGCCGTCCTCGACATGAGCACTATTTGGTCGTAGTTGTGGTCGATCGGGCCGTCCAGGGACGCCATATGGACCACAACAAAGTACGAAGCGGATTTCGGTGTTTCGACAAGTTTTGGCATGCGCCAGACATTCCTCAGGGTGTGTCTTAATGTAGCGCAGCGGTCGTAGGAATCTACCAGAGCTGGACGCAGCTCCAGTATGATTCTATTGGAGCTGGACGCAGGTCTCGTAGGATTCTACTAGCGCTGGACGCAGCTCTCGTACGAATTTTGCAGGGCTGGACGCAGCTCTAGTAGGGTCCCATCAGAGCTGGACACAGCCGTCGCAGGATTCGATTAGAGGTGGACGCAGCTCTCGTAGCATTTTATCAGAGCTTGGCGCAGCTCTCTAGTAGGATTATATGAGAGCTGGACGCAACGCTAGCAGGATTATATTTGAGCTGGGCGCAGCTCCAGTCGGATTCAAGTGGAGCTGGAAGCACATCTGGTAGGATTTTGTTAGGTATGGGCGCAGCTTCGTTCGGATTCTATTGGAGTTTGACGAAGCTCTAGTAGGATTATATTCGAGCTGGACGCAGCTCGAGTAGGACTCTATTAGAGCTGGACGCAGCTCTAGTAGAATTCGGATAAGTTTGCTGTAGGAGCTCGCTTCACTGGTGCGCACATCCATGTTGTGCTGGGAATTGAAGGGGGAAATCGAAATTGGGCAATTTCCGTGGATTAGTTTCCATTCGTTTGTGGTGGTGCTGGTTGCGCGGTTCCGGTTGCGACCCCCCTTCCGTGCAAATGCGGGCTAGGGTACCAGTAACCCGTCATCGCCAGCAGTGGAGGCCGGGGATTTGGTACCCTGCTCCCCAGGGTACCAGAAACCCGTCCTCGCCTTGCTGTTGTTGTTGCTATTGCTGTTGCTGTTGCTGTTGTTGCTGTTGTTGTTGTAGTTGTGGTTGTGGTTGTTGTGGTTGTTGTTGTTGTTGTTGTTGTTGTTGGTGTTGTTGTTGTTGTTGTTGTTGTTGTTGTTGTTGTTGTTGTTGTTGTTGTTGTTGTTGTTGTAGTTGTTGTTGTTGTTGTTGTTGTTGTTGTTGTTGATGTTGATGTTGATGTTGTTGTTGGTGTTGTTGTTGTTGTTCTTGTTCTTGTTGTTGTTGGTGTTGTTGTTGTTGATGTTGGTGTTGGTGTTGGTGTTGGTGTTGGTGTTGTTGTTGTTGTTGTTGTTGTTGTTGTTGTTGTTGTTGTTGTTGTTGTTGTTGTTGTTGTTTTGTTGTGTTTTGTTTTGTTTTGTTGTTGTTGTTGAATTCTCATTTCTAAAGAATAATTCTAAAGAGTAATTATTGTTGATCCCCCCCACCGGTGCATCCTGTTTTTCTCAAAATCAAAGTGTGCCCCTCGACGCTCGCACCCTGGGAAAGTATTCCTGCTCAAACTGGCCCCCTGGCCCCCGGGTTAACAACAAGAACGGCTCCCGCTTGAGACTTCCTTGCAATTTAGGCAGGACCCCCGCTCCCGCCCGAGACGTCCTCGCATTTTATTCAGGAATCGCGCTCTCGCTTCGGGCTTCCTTACAATTTATTCCGGAATCGCTCTGGCGGAGCTCTGGAGTCGCGCTCTCGCTGAAGACTTGCTTGCAATTTACTGAAGATTAGCCTTGCGTTGGAATTTCCTGCAATTTGCCCAAGCGCCGCGCTCCCGACACCCAGGCACCCAGGAGTCGCGCCCGTTGTGGCCCTCTGTGCATGCCCTTCGTGGCCCCGCTGTCGCCATTTGTGTCCCCCTCATTGTCCTACGTGGCCCAGTTGCTACCTTCAGTGGCTCCATAGTTGCCTTCTGTGGCCCCGCATTATCTGCACTTCGTGGCCCCCGCTCGTTCGCACTCTTCGTGGCCCCATACGCATTCCCTTCGTGTCCCCGCTGTCGCCCTTCGTGGCCTACTTCGTGCCCTTCGTGGCCCCGCTGTCGTTCTCTCTCGCTCTCGCTTTTGCTCGTCGTCGTCGCCGTCGTCTTCGACGTCGTCGTCGTCGTCGTTCTCGTCGTCGTTCTCGTCGTCATCGTGGTCGGTCCCCTGTCCATCCCTCTTGATGTCGGGTCGACGGTCCGCGGCCGCCCCGCCGATCAGCGCTGCCGCTGGCCAGGCCGACGGTACGCGGCCGCCCCGCCGCTTGCCGGGGCCCGGCCTGCAGGGAAGAAAGGTATACCCCCCAAAAGGGGTTCGATCGAAGACGAAGAGGGCGGGTATCGAGGGTTTGGGAAATACGCGTTATTGGACACTCGAGCATAGAAGGGCGAGCAGTCATAAAATGATTGTTGTTGTTGGTGGTGTTGTTGTTGTTCTCTCTCTCTCTCATTCGCTCTCTCTCTCTCTCTCTCCCGCGCATAGTTCACATGTGTCTTTTTGAGGCTCTCACTATCCTTCTCTCTCTCTCTCTTTCTCTATGTATCTCTTTTCTCCTACTTGCTCTCTCTCTCCCTCTCTCTCTCTATCCCCGTCGTCGTCTCGTCGTCGCGCCGGAGGCCGAGGAGTGCCGCTTCCAGCCCGAGTTCTTCACGAAGCCGGGGCGCGCCCAGGCCGGCGAGCGCACACGCACTGCGCGACGCGTGGGGCACTCGTGCCGAGTGCCGGGGCTCTGTGGTAATGTTGGCGGATCCTCCTCCTCCTCCTCCTCCTCCTCCTCCGGATCTGTTGCGTTGCGGCTTCACTTCTTCGCAAGGCATTCTGGCTGCGCAGGGCTGGGCGCGAAGGTATGTCGTTCGTGCTGGCGCGCTGCTCCATCTCGTTACGTGTCGTGCTGCCTGCGGCACGTCCCGCCACCGTGCCGGCTCGGCATTCTGGACGACGACTGTTCGATGTAGCACAGGAGTCCGTCACGTTTGACGCCTCGTTTCCGCAAGGCTGGCAGAGCCGTGATGAGGATGATGGGGACGTGGAGGACGAGGAATGTCGTCACATGTGACACCTTCTTCAATGCTCGATGCGCTCTCATGGACCTCATTCGGGCCGTCTTGGGGCTGTCTCGAGCTCCTGTGGGCAATCTTGGGGCCGTCTTGAGACCCTCTTGAGCCGTCTTGTGGCCCGCTTGGGCCATCTTAGGGCTCTCTTGAGCCGTCCTGGGGCTCTCTTGGGTCGCCTCGGGGCCCTCTCTCTGCCGCACGTGGGGTGCATCAGGCTGTCGTGGGGGCCGTCTTGGGGCTGCCTTGGCGGCCTCTTGGGTGCTCGTGGGATTATCCGGCAGTTCTTTGGACCATCTTGCGGGCCTGTCCAGTCGTCTTGGGACCATCCTGGAGGCTTCTTGAGCCGTCTTGAGCTGACAGAAGTCCGAAGCTGCGAGAATGCGAGACACCCTTCAACCACTCTTTTGAGGAACATCCATGTGTTGGTCCTCTTCGGGCCCTACTGGGATTCCTCTTCTGGCCCTCTTGGAGGCATCCTGGGTTGTCTTGAGGCCATACTGGGCCGCCTTGGGGCAGTCTTGGGCGATGTTGGAGACCTCTTGGATCATTTTGACGGCGGTAGTTGCCTGCCTCGGCCCTGTTGGAGGCTTGTGAACGTGGATCCACGTTTTACCAGGGATTGTGGTCTCGGAAGGGGGGGGAATGCACCTTTCTGCTAGTGGGAGAGGAGGATCTTAGACTTAAGTCGGGCCTGTCCCTCTACAGGAGGGATATTCCAAAATAGTCAGAAGATATTATGGGCATGATTTTTCTACTATTCTTGAATGCTGTGGGTGCATTGTTTGAGTTTTTTTTGTTAAAAATTATTCGTCCCAGATCCGCCTGTAGGGGGACACGCCCGACCTAATCTTAGAATGTTCATTGACATTCAACCAGGCAGCACTTGGTATTCTATCTCATTTCAACGTGCCAGGGGTGGGCAACGTTGGTGAATTGTCCCCTTGTTACTGTTATGGCCTCATGCAAGTTAGCTGCGGCGTGGAACTATGATCCTAACGCTACAGGCAAACAAGTTAGGTCACAGCCAAAGCTCATCCAGTCGAAGGCAAACGCCAAAGCTAACGCTGGACATGAGTCGGTAAAAGCTCTCGGGTGTTTCCGTTTGTATGCCGCGCTCTTGCGTTGTTGTGTCCCGCTGGCATGGATTGTGTCGTTGGACACTCAGTCAACTGCATAAGGCCAGGATTTCAGCTGAGCTGAGCCAACAGCAAGCCAAGATACGATTCGATAACAAGGCCACGTCTCGTCAACAACAAGCGTACATATAAAGTTGCGTAGAACAATTGAAAGCAGATGATGGACGTTATCGCGAAGTTACAGCCAGCGCCAAGATAAGATAGGTCTGGATACGATGAACACGTGTGTATATATACACAGACATGCATGTATACATGTATGTATAAGTATATGTGCATACATATAAAGAGCACAAAACTTGAATACTCAGTCACGCTGCCTGCGAAAAGCACCGCTACCGCGCCAGCGCAACAGCGCTATTGCTCAAAGAGGGCAGTGCGTGGCGCCGCGAGGGGTGCGAGTACCCCTGGAAGAAGCTGTACAACACCCGCTGGGCAGAACAGAGCCATTCTTACACGTTTTGGCGTATCAGGGGGGGGGGGAAGCAGATTGGCGGGAGCTCGGGCTGAAGCCACAATGGATCGGTGGTTCAAAGATGGGTTTTTGAGGGATGGGGTCCCGAAGATTGGAAGGGTGGCTTTACACTGTTTGAGGCACCTCATCCTCAGGACCGCATTCCTCAGGAGCCCATCTTTGAACTACCGCATGGAACAGGGCTGGTGCTGGGCTGTCTGTTCGGCATTCCGTGTTCGTTCGTCGCGGCGTTGCCACATCTAACATAACAAGAGTTTCCACTACGATGCCCGTTTGTGGAGCCCGGCTCCGCCAAGCGTGAAGCCACAGCTGAAAGCTACGGCCTACAGGCCATTCGGCGAATGATGTTTCGAAAGAAGTGAACACGACAACGAACGCGCAGCCGACATCTCTCTCCTCCTCCTCCTCCCCCTCCTCCCCCTCCTCCCCCTCCTCCCCCTCCTCCCCCTCCTCCTCCTCCTCCTCCTCCTCCTCCTCCTCCTCCTCCTCCTCCTCCTCTCCTCCTCCTCCTCCTCCTTCTCCTCCTCCTCCTCCCCCTCCTCCTCCTGCTCCTGCTCCCTGCTCCTTCTGCATGCTCTCCTGCTCCCCCCTGCACGCCGGACCATTCGCCTTTCGGTTGCTCCGAGTAGCCACACGCTGGAGCGGACTGCCTCTGCCTCGCCGCCGACGGAAGAAGTAGTGTCTCCCTGTCCGCGGAGACCCCCGACGCCCTCGTAGAACCAGCGAAGGATCCCGCGGGTTCTGTCAGGACGCTGCAAGAGTCAAGCAGTGGCGAAGTGTCCTGGCTAGCCTATAGGCCCACCAAATAGAATGGTCCAAGAACCTCTTGTGGTCTGCACGGAATGTTGTTAGAACATTTCTGGTTGGGGCTGTCTTGTTTTGACACATCGGATTGATGTTACAAGAGCATAGTTTTTGGTAGAGCATTTGTGGGTTCTAAGCACATGTCGTGGTATGCCCATACGAATGCCTGGACGTTCGGTTCCTGCTCAACCTGCGTTTTTTCTTCGGCGTTCCTCGAAGCCTCCCGGCAGCTTCCGAGAGCCGTTTGAAACACCTGCAGAGAGAATGAGGGGCCTTGGGAGACGTCCGTCTCCTTACCTCCCTGCCGAGGAGGAACAGGTACTCCTGCCCCGCCTTTCCCCTCTTCGGGCCTCCTGGGAGGCCGTCGTCGCCACCGCCGGATTCGCTCCGAAGGCCTGGGCAGAACGCACCCCAGGAGAGGTCCGGGGAGTAGCGGTATCGGCACTTTTGTTCTGCACGCACGAGATGGGCACGGAAAGAATGGGCACAATGCCCAACAGCAGTTCCTGTTCATTTTGAATAGGACTCGCTGTCCTCGCTGTCCGCGCCGCCGCGGCCTGCGTCCATTTGAGACAGAAGGCCGCCTGTCCAACAGTGGCCGCTGTTGGCTTGGGACAACATTTGTTGTTGGGCATTGTACCCATTCTTTCCGTGCCCATTTCGGGCGTCCAAACTTTTTGGTCTCCCAGTCAGTTCTCCGTTTTCACGACAACTGCGACGACGTGTTGAGGGTTAGCAGGTGCTTGTGCGCCTTTTCGGCAACGCGCAGAGGGGGGGTAGGGAGAGGGGGGAAGGCTTCTTAGAGGCACCCCTGCCTCTTAGAAGGCGCGGGCCTTCTCTACAGACGTAAGGCCGAGGCCTTCTAAGAAGCAGGGTGCTTCTAAGAAGCCTTCCCCCCCTCCCCCTACCCCCCCTCTGCGCGCCGCCAACCTCTGTAGGTGTGCCGCGCGCCGATCCGCGCGCACGGTCGCGCGAAGGGCCCGCGCGGCGCCCTGACGTCGCGCGAAGTCTGCGGCCGCGTGGCAGGGCCAGCGACTTGCAGCCACTGGCCCTCGGCAGGGGATGGAATACGAAGGATCCGCGCATGTCGCGCGAGGCCTGCGCGGCGCCCCGACGTCGCGCGAAGTCTGCGGCCGCGTGGCAGGGCCAGCGACTTGCAGCCACTGGCCCTCGGCAGGGGATGGAATAATACTCAGGAGGGAAAAGAGCACACATACACAATGCATCGTCGATCCCCCAGACAATATGGGAACATGTGGGAAGTGGGGGGGAAGACAAGAGCCCAGAGAATATGGGAACATATGGGGGCATCTGTCTATTTGTGTGTATTTAGTTGTGTGTCCTGGGCCCCCAAATACGAGGGATGGGGAGGAGGAGCAGCAGCAGCAGCGAGGAGAGGTGGGAACACGAATGTGATGACGAGCAGCAGCAGCGAGGACGAGGATCATGCAACGCATCGTGATGGAAGCGCATAAGGTATTGCACGGTGCGCGCACGTCGGCACCAACCGTGTAACTAAACAGTGTAGCATACGTACTCACAATCACATGGAATTGAATCGCTTCGCTCATTCCGCTGGCCCATATGTTGTCTCGCCGCTGTTGTTTGTCGGGGTGTGATTGTCAATCCGGTGCGGTTTGACGGCTGCCATTTTTCGGAGGCGGTGGGCCACAATAAGTTCACGCGTAGAATGCACATACCTGGAAGTATACAAAACCATGTGTTTCAATATCAAGCAAACGTAACCTAATTATAGCCAAAGAATATCAAACACCAATACATTCGCATCAGCTGTTCCCCAAACCACCAACATATGACCAACATAGGAACCAACGCATCAACACATATCCCAGCACAACCGATTACTAAAAAGAGCCGCGGACTGCTCGGCTGGCGTGTTGCAGAATTTCAGTCCTGGCGCGTTTACACAAACAGGAAGGGTGTCCCGAGCCAGAACGACGAAACCTGAGTCGCGCGAAATTGCGACCACGACGACGACGACGACGATGGCGACCACGACGACGACAGCGATAACGACGACGACGACGAACAAGACGACGACGACGACCACGACGACGACGGCGACGGCGGCGGCGGCGGCGAGGGCGACGACGGCGACGACCGCGACGACGACGCCGACGACGGCGGCGGCGCCGGCGGCGACCTGGCCGCCGCCCGCAGGTGGCCGCGCCCGAGCCGCTCACGCCCCGCTCCTCCGCGGCGGCGGCGCGGCGGTCCGCTCCCCCCCCCGGCGCGCAGAGCATGGCCGTGGCCTCCGGCGGCCTGGCGGCGGCCGCCTCGGCGCCGGGCCGCCGAAGGCCTTCGGCGGCCTCTCCGGCGGGCCCTCGGGCGGCGCCGACGGCGACCGCGGCGGCCTGCGGGCGCGGCGGCGGCGCGGACGGCGGCGGCGGGCGAGGAAGGCCGACAGAGGGCGGCGAGGAGGGCGAGGTGAACGAGGCGGAGGAGGAGGACGAGGAAGAGGAGGAGGAGGAGGAGGAGGAGGAGGTGGAGGAGGAGCAGGAGGAGGAGGAGGAGGAGGGAGGAGCGAGGAGGGAGAACGGCGTAAGAAGGAGGAGCCGGATGAAAAGGATGAGGGGCGGGTACTGCTGCCCTTGCCTCGTTCTCGCCTTTTTGGGGGCCTCTGGGGGGGCCTCATCGCCACGGCTGGATGTCGCTCGCTCGAAATCCTGGTCGGACAGCGCGCCGGAAGGGGCGTGGGGAGCAGATGTATCGATGTCTTTTGGCTTCCACGGCAACGCCGGCGGGTTGCGGCGGCGACGACGACGGCGACGGATTGAAGGCGGGACGAGGGGCGCGAATGAGGGGGGAGAGTGCGGAGGACAGGAGGGGGGTACAGGGAGGAGGTCTAGAGAGACGAGGGAGTTGGGAGCGGTGAAGGGTGGCAGGATGAGGATGCTGGTGGTGGGGGGATGGGGAAGGGCGAGGAGGGGAGGACAGGATGGGAGAGGAGGGAGATGGAGGTATGAGGAGGGATGCGAGAGCAAGGAGAGAACTAGGGTGGGGGGAGGGAGGAGGTGTGAGGAGGACGAGGAGGACGAGGAGGACGAGGGAGAGCATTATGATAATGATGATGATGATGATGATGATGATGATGATGATGATGATGATGATGATGATGATGATGATGATGATGATGATGATGATGATGATGATGATGGTGATGGTGATGGTGATGGTGATGGTGATGGTGATGGTGATGGTGATGGTGATGGTGATGGTGATGGTGATGGTGATGGTGATGGTGGTGATGGTGATGGTGATGGTGATGGTGATGGTGATGGTGATGACGAGGAGGAGGAGGAGGAGGAGGAGGAGGAGGGCGGAGGGAGGAGGGAGGAGGGAGGAGGGAGGAGGGACGACGGCATCAGAAGGAGGAGCCGGATGAGGACGATGATGGGCGGGGGAGGAGGAGGGGAAAGGGGGGTGAGGGTAAGGGAGGGAGAAGGGGGTTGGGAGGGGGGGGGATAGGGAGGGAGGATGGTAGGAGCGAGACCCTGCAGCCATTCTCTGTCACTGCGCGGGGCGTGCCCCCAATTGCTCGGCGAGGGCCCCAAGGGCCTGGCGATCAGGCAAAAAAGGCCCCCCTGCTTGAGAGTTGGGCCGTGGTTCGAGCGGCCTCGAGCAGCCTCTCGGGAGGCCTCTCGGACGCCTATCCAGCTGCCTGCGGCAAGTCCCGCCACCGTGCCGCTGGTGCTAAGGATGGTGCTGCTGCTGATGCGGCTGACGATGATGGTGATGGTGATGCTGGCGACGATGGTGATGCTGGTGATGATGCTGCTGCTGATGATCATGATGCTGATGCTCATGATGCTGGTGATGGTGGTGACCGTGATGGTGATGGCGATGGTGTTGGTGTTGGTGATGGTTATGATGATGCTGATGCTGATGTTGATGTTGATGCTCATGATGATAATGCTGATGGTGATATTGATGGTGGTGATGGTGGTGGTGTTGCTGCTGATGATGATACTGATGATGAGGATGGTGATGCTGATAACGATGGCGATAACGATATTGATGGTGATTGCGGTGGTGATGGTTATGGTGATGGTTATGGGTATGATAGTGTTGGTAGTGATGATGAGGAGGAGACGTAAGGTGAGGATGATAGTAAGGTTGATGAGGCTGATGATGTGAAGGATGAGGTGGAGGAGGAGGAACAGCAGCAGGAGGAAAACAAGGAAGAGGCAGACCGTCGCATGTGACACCATCCGTCTTCACTACTTCAGGAGCTCTCATTGAACTCGTTTGGGCCGTCTTGCGGCTGTTTTTGTCTCCTGTGGGACAGTCTTCGGGGTCCTTGGCGGCCCTCTTGGGCCGTTTGAGGCCCTTTTAGGCAGTCTTGGAGTTATATTGGGCCGTCTTGGGGACCTGTTGGCCGTATGGTGGGTGCCTGGGGACTATCGTGGGGCCGTCTTGCCGCCGTCTTGGGCAGTCGAAGTCCGTCTTGGGTTCCACGGAAGGCCCTCTTTGGCCGTCGTGGGGTCGCCTCGGATGCCTCTTGGGCCCTCGTGGGGTCCGTTTGGGCCATCTTTTGTTCCTCGTGGGGGTCTCTTGGGCCGTCTTCGGGCCATCGGTTTCCTGCACCGTCTTGTGCTGATGGAATCTCGAAAAGGCGATACTGCGAAACTCATTCAAACACCCACGGGGAATTACTGTTTCGGGCTTTTCTGGGCCCTCGTTGGGCTCTTCTGGGCCCTCTTGGAGGTATCTTGGGCCGCCTTTAGGCAAGATTCGACCGCCGTTGGGGGCTATTTTGGCCCGACTTCGAGGCATCTTGGGTCATCTTGGTTGGTTTGGTTGTTTGCCTGGCCCGTCGTTGAAGCTTGGGTCGCGGAAGCATCGCATTTCATTGATCAGTGTGGCTCCGGAAGTGCAATGTTGTTGTTTTTCGCGATGGCTTGTGGCCGCGAGAGGGAGAAAGCGAGAGAGAGAGAGAGAGAGAGAGACTGAGAGAGAGAGAAAGAGAGAGAGAGAGGCGATGCATGCGGCGCCGCGTGGCGAGAGAGAGAGAGAGAGAGAGCCATAGATGACAGACACCCTACCAGACAGCACTTGGCACTATTCTAGCACACCCCAGCGTGCCCAGCTCTTGGAAGTTTGTTGGAGATACTCCGGGGCCTCTTGGGTTTTTTTGGGGGGTCTTTAGGAGCCTCCTGGGTGTCTCTTGCGGGCCTGCTGGCGGTCTCGGCGGCCCTCGTTTGGGGAAAGGGCTCCAGAGGTCACTTCGGGGTCCCCCTCTTTGGGCGCCTTGGTGGCCGTCTGGCGGCGATAGGAAGAGCCTCTGGGGCCATGTTGGGCGCCCTGCAGTCAGAACGTCGAGCATACGACAGCCGTGTGCAGTCAACCAGCATAGTAAGGATGGGCAACCTTCCCAAGGGCATCCTTGCATCCTTGCCTCCTCGGTCATTCCCTGGCCACTTTCGGTGGCCGCGCCACGCTCGCAAAGTGTCGACATGACCTTCCACGGCCCTTGCATCCTATCCTTGGCATCGCTCGGACGTGTGCATATTCTCTCGGCGATGACCATAAAGGATCATCCTGGACCATCGAGCAAAAAAGAAAAACACGCACGACACCGACAAGTGCACGGGAGATGGACGTCCGATCGACGCCACGTATCGCGCTTATTGTACGGGTTCACTGCAAGGACCTGCCTTGATTCTATGGAGGGAGGAGGGAGGAGGGAGGAGGAGGAGGAGGGGGAGGAGGAGGAGGAGGAGGAGGAGGAGGAGGAGGAGGAGGAGGAGGAGGAGGAGGAGGAGGGCCTCCAGGGCCAGCCCCAGGAGCCTCCAAGACGGCCCAAGGGGCCCCTGGGCGAGCCCCGGCGCGGGCTCCTTCAAGACAGCAGTGGGAGCACGCTCGAGGTCTACAGTCAAAAACCCTAATAAGGACGCGCGACTTTGCTCAGGGTACCCTTGCGTCCTTGCTCTTCCTTGCTCTTGCGTCCTTGGGGTTTTCGTCGTCCGCCGCCCCAAAACACCCAACTTCGGCTTCCAAGGGTCTTGCGTCCTTACCGCGCGTCATTATTAGGGTTTTTGACTGTACTGTCAACCCGTATAAGAAGGACGCGCGAAAAGGATGCAAGAGCCTTGGACAGCCATGCGGATTTTTTGCGAGCGGGGCGCGGCCGGCGAAGGCGGCCAAGGATGGGCCGAAGGGGAGGGATGCAGGGCTGACCTTGGAAAGTCAATCGTCCTTGCTATGCAGGTCGACTGCGAACTCCCAGCCACGCTCCCTGGGTCGCTGAACAAAATCACGCCGGTAATGCCATGAGCGCGCGAGAGCGCCTGGCAGCGCCCAAGAGCGCACATGACTCGGGGTTCCGGGGAGAGCTTACAATGTAGTCTAGCAGAGAGCTCGAACAGAGCTAGGTGCACTCCGCTCGGTGCCTACACAACGATGGCGGATTATCAGAGATTCTGGGGCGATCTCAACCGAGAGCCGCCCCCGTTTTCGAAATGACCCGCTCTCCATCTGCGTCACCGTCGCACAATTTTGAACATTCCATCTTGAAGCCCAAGGCAGTAAATATCAAACAAGAGCCCCGTTCTGAAAAGGAGCTCCCATCCACCGACTTCATGATTGCGAATGTTGAAAACACATGTGTGTTGTTCAGACAAGAGACCCACTACACCAAATTGTTATTGCTTCGCGTATCCCCACCAGCCCATCCCAAAACAGCACATGTTGCGACGCATGCCGACGGTCGTGACTTTCAGGCGTGTCTCCTCCTGCTCTCGCATATCTCCTCCTCTTCCGCCCACCTCTAGCCGACTTTCTGTTATACATTCTTCGGGGGGCAGTGGGAGGAGGACGAGGCGGAGCAGGAGATCTCTGGACCCTTTTGGTGTCCTCGTGGTGCCTCTTATGGCACCCTTGGGGCTCTTTGGGGGGTTTGGGGGGGCCCTCGTGGGGCTCTTTGGGGGGGAGGGGGAGGTCTCTTGGGACCATCTTGGCGGCCACGGCTCAAAACGGAGCGCGGTGACAATTGGGCCCCCCTTCGGAACCCGAAAAGTCGTCCCTTGGGGCTGCACTTGGGCCGCTCTTGAGCGCTCTTGGGCCCGTCTTGGGCCCGTCTTGGGCGTCTCTGGGGCAAGAGGTCATTGATGCCGAAAAGGCGAGAAGGCAACACACATTGCTGTTCCTAAGGTTTTTGAAGGATGTGAGCCTCTCGGAGGCTTTCTTGGGAGGCTCTGTGACCACTTGGGACCGTCTTGGGGCGGTCTTGTAGCCTCGTGTAGGCTTAT